CTAAAGAGATCGAAACATTTACAGATGTTAATCACGACTTATTTTTAATAAGTTACAGATATCGATCTCCAATACCTGGTGAAAATTTAAACATGCTGCTCGGAGAATTCTGTTTGAAAGTTACAGTTATCACTTGCAATAAATTTATTTCATATCTTGAGTAATGCCTATGGATACGACATGACAAGTTTGAATTTATGGATATTTTACTTCGTTAATGATGATATAGCCTTGGAGTGATTAGTCATAGTAGTTAAGTTACGATTTCTGTTCTTTAATATGGAGTAATCAATATATGGTTTGTAGACTATGGAATGTTCGTTGAAATAATCAACGCATGCAAGCTATTGATTATGAGTGTAATCAGATGTGTTGTGAAGTTTATGTTGATGAGATCCTAGATTGCGCGATCTTCTATAGTTTGTGGGCTGATGTAATCGATGGCGTGAGCATCTTCAGATTGTGTATTATAGGTTACGTAGAATATACGCAAGAGTGTGTATTGTGAAATTTTCCATAAAAAATATGAAGTGTATTTATGGTGTGAATTTTGACTGTGTCTCTTCACATGTTTTTGCTATGTCTCTAAATCTAATAGCTATGCACTGAATAGATTCAGTACAGGAAGTAAGAAGGAGTACACGGGTTTTGTCTTCTCTGTCCATCTGAAGATGGTCACCTATGACTATCGCTTTATTAGTACGGAAATTAATAATATAACTCACGAATCTCTTTTGTCTTGCACTTGGCGCTATAGTATTGGAAAGAATTCGTGCAGTTCACTGATGAAGAAAATGATAATGAAATAAACGATTGAGTGTCCCAAGAAAAATAAATCTGACATATGATGATTCTGTCAATGACTTTTTTTCAATTCTCATCAATCAAATTAAAGCTTAATATCTAAAAAATCTTAGTTCGATCCTTTAAAACCTCGTATAAAGCATACTAAAATTAAAAGTTATCATTGAGAAACATATCGAACTGAAGAATAAATATTATATTGATTAATTTTAATATGTTCACAACGACTGAATTAACGAACTTATCTATTGAATGGAAAAACTTATCGTATATATCCATATATAAGTGTATGAAGATCAATAAAGTTTTTCCATGAGTTCCTATCGATTTGATGACCTTCTTTGAGGTGCTACTTTCAAAACCTTCATAGCAAATTAAATTCAAATAAGATCTAAAAATGTCATGATAAATTTAAGCCTTTCGTCTTAATGTTGGTGTGATTTGAGTTTAGTTTGCAATGTAAATTTTCAAATTAGTATTTCCAAGAAGTTCACCAAATCTATAGGAACTTACGATGAACTTCATGCACTTACATACGGATATTGGCATTAATTTCTAAGATTTAGTGAAAGAATTTTTTAAGACAATACTAATCTACAAATCATGGCAATTAAGTTTATCTTATTCTTCAGTCTGATATGTTTCTCAATAATCTTTTTATTTTAAAATGTTCTAGATTTAAAATTTTCAAATGGCAGATAGCAATATTAGCGAAAAAAATTCTGCTTTACGCTTTGCTGATGTGGGTACACTACCGAAACGAATGTTGGCACC